GAGGGATTCACTAGGGCACTGACCAAATATAGATCCTGTGGAATAGGGAATATGGAGCGTTGCGATGGTGGAGCTAATGAGAGGAGGTGAAGTAGGGGAGGAGAAAGAATGAATGGATGTGGTCTTGGAGAGAAGGAATGAAGGATAACATGAGAAAGAAGCAATCAGACGAGGAAAGGGAGGAAGGTCGGACTCTGGTGCTTGATCTCTTAGGGCCTCTTTGGTTATAGATTGCGGAGCACTTCATTCTTTGGGAATTTTTCCAGTGGAGTATGTTTTGGTTTCTAAAGTCAGAAGATTTATGTTTTATGGCCTACTTTGTACTCCCTCGTCCAGAATTACTTATCGCAGAAATAAATGCATCTAGATGTATTTTAGTTCTAAATATATTTATTTTTATTTATTTCCGTGACAAGTAATTTGGGACGGACGGAGTATGTAATATCATAGGAGAATTTCCATCGAGTACAACCTCACGATTTTTATTATTTGTTTCTATGACAACCATGGCATGCACCTACCTATACGAAAAATTCCTGCATTTTCCCTGCAACCAAATAATTTCTTAAATTTTACAAAGGGATATAATTGAGTCGTGATGTTGATTCCTCCACACAACAATTTGTTAACGTGTAGCATGCAGCAAGAGGAAGAAAAAACCGAGTAGAACCATTGGGAGTTAATCTGAAATCCATAACCAGTAGGTTTTTTGGAGTTAATCCGAAATCCATAATCCTTTTCTAAAAAAAAATCCGAAATCCATAAACAGTATTTTTTTAGTTTTTTAGTTCTTTTAGTATTTTTTTAGTTAATCCAAAATCCGTAAACAGTTCGGCCAGTGCAAAGCCGGCCCGTGCAACGCACCAATCTAGGGCCCAGGCCCAAACACCCACTCGCTTCCCAGCCGCTCTCTCGGCTCCTCGCAAAGCAACGCGCTCCGTCCGTCCAGCTCCAGCCGCCATAACCCCAGCACCGGCGGCCGTCGCCGGCCTCCGGCCGGCGGCGCACACGGCAGGACATCGCCTCAATGTCCGTCACGCTGTTCCCGCCCAGCGCCGATATGCGGAGTCCTTCCTCCGTCTGCGGCCCTACCACCACTCGGATGACCATGGGCGATGTCCGTACCAACCCACTGCCGCTCTGATCTATGTTGATCCAGTGCGCTGCCATGGCCTCCATCTTCGCTGCAGCTAGCGCCCATGCCCCCTTCGCTCTCGCCCACAAGGTATTTTTTCTTGCTTCTCCACTGGCTGGTACAGAGCGGCAGGCCCAAAGTTTCTCTTCAGTTATTTTTGTAGGTGCCGAAGTTAGGAAATCAGACCAGGATCCCTGAGCAGATGCACGACACACCTAGTGCCTCACGTTGCATACGAATCTTCAATGAATGATGCAAAAAACGTTGATGAATATTGCAAAAACCTTTGATGAATAAGAATAATGCATCAATAGACATATAATATTGTTTTTAGATTATATGTTATTTGCTTGTCTAATTTTGTGACCTGTATGTGTTTCGCAGCCGAGGACCTGATCAAGAATGGGCAAGTGCAGGCCATCATATGGGGCCCTGGGACACTGGGCAAATCAGATTACGCCGCACACCTAGGCCGCCGCCGCAACCATGTTCCGGTTCTCTCCTTCTCTGGTGTTTCTCCAGCATTGTGTGCCTTCTGGATAGAAGATCCTGTAGCAGCCTCAGGAGGCCATGCCACGTTTGGATTTACACTTGGAAGTGACACTATAACCTTTCCTAGTCCGAGAACAGGCAGAAGAATTAGTAGAAAACTAGGTACAAGGAAATCAAGGAAGAAATGCAGAGGTAAGACGGGGCTTAAGATTGCCGTGCCGCTGAAACTGGGCTTTCAAGTTTTTGTGAACGTTATTGATCCTGTTTCCAAGAAACAAAACGTCACTGGCTACAGCATTGATATCTTTGAGGCTGCTATGAGGAATTTGCATCCTCGTCCGTGCTATAATTTTTTCGTCTTCCGTGGTACTTATGATGAGCTAGTAGGCAATGTGTCTTTCGGGGTAAGGCTTATCCTACACTAGTTTCATCTCATCCTTATACGAGTATTATTTTGTCAACATTGTAATTTCTTGTAGTACCTAAATACCTTTTCATCTGTGCTAATTTTCATCTATCCTAAACAGGTGTATGACGGTGCAGTAGGCGATGTGACCATAACCGCGGAACGAGTCGCTACCACAGACTTTACAATGCCGTACACCCAGTCAGGTGTGTCTATGCTTGTGCTCGCCGAGGATGAACCGGATACAATCCGTTGGACATTTGTAAAGCCACTAAATGGGAGGCTTTGGTTTGCAACAATTGTCTTCTTCTTCTATACTGGCTTTGTTGTGTGGATGATTGAACTGCCCAAAAATCAGGAGTACCAAGGATCAAGATCGAGACAATGTAGCACTGCCCTCTACTTCATTTTCTCAACTTTGACATTTTCTCATGGTGAGTACTTAAGCTTAAACTTCCTGACAGAATTCGAGGCTTTATAATAAGTATTTTAATTAGTTTCTCATCATAGTTCTAAGATTATATAATCTTTTGGTTATTCCATGCACAGGTCCTATTATTAGAAGCCCCTTGTCAAAAATTGTTGTGGTGGTATGGTGCTTTGTGGTGCTGATTCTTGTACAAAGCTACACAGCAAGCCTATCATCCATGCTGACCGCAAAGAGGCTCCGTCCTTTGATGACAGATCTAGACCAGCTCAGGAGTAGTGGTGACTTTGTAGGATACCAAGATGATTCATTTGTGCGGTCCTTCTTGGTCAGTCATAATTTCAGTGAAAGCAGGTTAAGGAACTACACAACGAAAGAAGAATATGCTGCTGCTTTGAGGATGGGTTCCAAGAATGGAGGGGTGTCAGCTATCATAGATGAGATCCCTTATTTAACTTCTTTCCTCTCTGACCGTCGGTACGAAAATGATTTTAGGATGCTTGGATCCATATACAGGACTCCTGGATTTGGCTTTGTAAGCTACTCAACCTTAATGCCTTGGTATATTCCTGATTTGTTCTTGCAGTGCTATGCTGCAATCTAGATAGAAAATAAGTTGCTGACATCGTGTTCTTATCTTCAGGCATTCCGTCTAGGTTCTCCGCTAGTGCATAATCTTTCGACTGCTATCCTGCACCTAGCAGGACGGGATGAGGGCTCACGAATCGAAAGAAAATGGTTCGGCTCAGCTTCACCTCCAATGGGTCCTAGCATGGTCCCTGACATGGACTCCACGCCTCTGACTTTCCAAAGCTTCTCCGGTCTCTTTGTCATCACAGTATCCATTTCAACTCTAATGCTGTTGATAAGCATTATAAGGTCAATTCATGCCAAATGCACTCGGTTGAGAAAGGTCGAAGATGAGTCTCGTCCGTTGCAGAATACCATGGGTGGCGACCCCAGCCCTGTTCCACAACCCTACCCTGAAGCTGGCAGTGATAATTTTGGGGCCGTCGAAGGAAGCAGCGAAAATGTTGGGGGCATAGAGCCTGACCCGGTGCAGCAGAATGGCATCCAGGATGCATCTGTGCCTCCAGGACACACTCAGATTCAGATTGAGTTGAGCAGTGTCTGAGGTGAAGGGGAGTGCCAGATGCTCGCGTGTATGTTTCTCGTCATTGAAGCAATTCTGCATTCCAAACGTTGGACTAGGTAGATTAGTTATTTCTCTCGTTCCCGCTATTTTGGAAAAGAAAAGACAGATGTTCAGTGTGCATATTCTCTTTAGATTGATAATTCTTATGCTTTTGAAGTAGTACATTCTTTAACCCCATCTGTAAATTGATGGTGATTTTAGACATAGGTATAGTCCTCAACATGTATACAAAGGTAGTATTTGTATTTTACAACTGACCCGAATGTTTGAAGTTGGAGTAGTTCATGATTTATGTACTGTCTCCTGTAATCCGAACGGAAACAATGCTGCATATGCAGTGTATCAAAAGGTTTTTTTTCATGTCCATATTTTACCGAACCTACATGGTCACAAACTTAAGGTAATCACGAGTTACAATGACGAGAATAATGAGAATATATTTGTGAAATGGTTTCAGTGATATTCAGAATAGTTTGGAAAGGAATCGAAAGCGTTTCGTGGTCACCAGAATGGTTCAGAGTTTACCGGGCAAAACCGGTTATTACCGATAAATAATATATAGGTAAAAATGTTTCCAGAGATGTTAAACTAATAATAAAAGGCTCTAATAATATTTAGGACGCTTTTAGATTTAATTAAATATCAGCGGGCCTTAAAAGACAAGTGGTGGAAGGAGAATTGGGCCACAAGGGCCCAATAGGGGGAGGCGCCCCCCCTCCTTTCCCACTTGGGAGGCTGAATTGGAGTGGGGGAGGACTCCTCCTCCCCCCTAGGCTGGCGCAAGGAGGGGAACTCCTTCCCTCTTTGTGGCGTCCCTCCCGTCGGAAATATGCCCTAGAGGCAATAATAAATTAGTTATTATCATATTTCGTTGTTCATGATAAAGATTTATTATTCATGCTAGAATTGTATTGACCAGAAACTTAAATACATGTGTGAATACATAAACAAATACTATGTCCTTAGTGAGCCTCTACTAGGCTAGCTCATTGATCAAAGATGGTTAAGCTTTCCTAACCGTAGACATGAGTTGTCATTTGATAACGGGATCACATCATTAGGAGAATGATGTGATGGACAAGACCCAACCATAAGCTTAGGATTCGATCATATCACTTGAGTTTATTGCTATAGCTTTCTTCATGTCAAGTATCTATATCTAAGACAATGAGATCATGCAACTCCCAGATACCAGAGGAATACCTTGTGTGCTATCGAACGTCACCTCGTAACTGGATGATCATAAAGATGCTCTACAGGTATCTCCAAAGGTGTCTGTTGGGTTGCATGGATCAGGACTGGAATTTGTCGCTCCATGTGACGGAGAGATATCTCTGGGCCCTCTCGGTAATACAACATCGTAAAGAGCTTGAAAGCAATGTGGCTAATGAGTTAGTCACCAGATCTTGTATTACGAAACGACTAAAGAGACTTGTCGGTAAAGAGATTGAACTAGGTATGGAGATACCAACGATCGAATCTCGAGCAAGTAACATATGGCCGGACAAAGGGAATTGCATACGGGATTAACCCAATCGTTGGCATCGTGGTTCAACCGATTAAAGATCTTCGTGGAATATGTAGAAACCAATATGGGCATCCAGGTTCCGGTATTGGTTACTGACCTGAGAGGTGTCTCGGTCATGTCTACATGATTCTCGAACCCGTAGGGTCCGCACGCTTAACGTTCGGTGACGCTGGAGTAATATTGGGATATGCATGTTGGTGACGAACGTTGTTCGGAGTCCCGGATGGGATCCGGGGCGTCACAAGGAGCTTCGGAATGGTCTGGAGGTAAAGATTTATATATGGAAAGTTGTATTCAGGGTTTCGAAGAAAGTTTCCGTTCTTTCGGGATTGTACCGGGAAGCTTCCAGAAGGTTCCGTAAACTTCCAGAGGAGTCCGAAAGTCCACCAAGGGTTCCACCACGTCCCAAGGGTCAGCATGGGTTGAGGGGAGGCACAAGTCCCTCACGGCCCTGTGTCTTGGGAGAGGTGGAAAGTCCACCTTTGTATGGAAAAGGAGGGAATTGGACTAGGAGTCTAACTCGTCCCCCTTGGTGCACCCCTAGGGCTTGGAGGGCTGGCCAACACAAGCCCTTGGCCCCCCTCTCCCTCCCATTACTTTGTAACTCCTCTGTCTTCGTTGTTTCAGTAGCGCTCGACGTAGCCCTGCCGGAATCACTCCACCACCATCACCGTCACACCGTCGTGCTACAGGCAATCCCATCTACTTCCCCTCCCTCGCTTGCTGGATCAAGGAGGAGGAGACGTCGTCGAGCCATACGTGTGCTGAACGCGGAGGTGCCGTTCGTTTGATACTTCATCGATTTGGATCGTGATTGGATCGTGATGAGTACGACTACATAGACCGCGTGATATATGCTTCGCTTAACGGTCTACGAAGGTACGTATACACACTCTCCCCTCTCTTTGTTATGCTTCTCTTAGATATATCTTGGGTGTTTGTAGGAATATTTTTGATTTTCATGCAACGTTCCCCAATAGTGGCATCATGAGCTAGGTCTATGCGTAGATGTATATGCACGGGTAGAACACAAAGATTTGTGGGCATTGAAGATCAAATTGTTTACCTCTCTTGTCTTATTTGGATTCGGCGGTATTGTGGGATGAAGCGGCTCGAACCAAATTTACATGTCCTCGCACATGAGACCGGTTCCACCGACTGACATGCAACTTGTTGCATAAGGTGGCTAGTGGATGTCTGTCTCTCCTACTTTGTTGAATCTAATTTGACAAAGGCAGTCCTTGTAGAAGGTTAAAAGGCAACTTTATTATCACTGTTGTGGCTTTGCATAGGCAAGAACGGTCTTGCTAGTTGCACAGCAGCCACGTAAAATTAGCAACAACAAAGTAGAGGACATCTAACTTGTTTTTGCAGGGCATGTTGTGATGTGGCATGGCCAAAACGTGATGTGATATATGTTGATGTGTGAGATGATCATGTTTTGTAATAGGTTAACGACTTGCATGTCGATGAGTTCTGCAACCGGCAGGACCCATAGGGTGTCTTTAATTTATTAATTGTCATGTAATTGATTTACTTTATCACTATGCGTTAACAATAGTTGTAGAAGCAATAGTTGGTGAGATGACCACGTGACGACACGATGATGGAGATCATGATGATGGATATCATGGTGTCATGCCAGTGACGATGGAGATCATGCCGGTGCTTTGGAGATGGAGATCAAAGGCATCAGATGATAATGGCCATATCATGTCACATATTGATTGCATGTAATGTTTATCTTTTTATGCATCTTATTTTGCTGAGGAGGACAGTAGCATTATGAGATGATCCCTTCACTTAATTTCAAGAAATTGTGTTCTCCCTAAGTATGCATTTTTGCAAAAGTTCGTCATTTCGAAGCACCTCATGATGATCGGGTGTGATAGACTCTACGTTCGCATACAATGAGTGTAAGCCAGTTTTACACATGAAAAATACTTGGGTTAAACTTGACGAGCGTAGCATGATAGACATGGCCTCGGAACACAGGAGACCTAAAGGTCGAACATGAGTCATATAGTAGATATGATCAACATGGAGATATTCACCATTGATGACTACCCCATCTCACATGATGATCGGACATGGGTTAGTTGACTTGGATCATGTATCACTTAAACAACTTGAGGGATGTTGATTTAAGTGGGAGTTCATTAGTAATTTGATTATCTGAACTAATTATCATGAACTTAGTCTTAATTGTCTTTGCAATTGTGTTGTAGATCAATGGCCCACGCTGTAATTCCCCTGAATTTTAATGCGTTCTTAGAGAAAGCTAAGTTGAAAGATGATGGAATCAACTATGCGTACTGGGTCCGTAACTTGATGATTATCCTCATTGTTGCACAGAAGGCATATGTCCTTGATGAACCGCTAGGTGCCGCACCCCGTCCAGCGTTGTCTGTGGATGTTGTGAACATCTGGCAGGCACATTTTGATGACTACTCAATAGTTCAGTGCGCCATGCTTGACGGCTTAGAACCGGGGCTCCAAGGACGTTTTGAGTACCATGGAGCATATGAGATGTTCCAGGAGCTGAAATAGGTATTTCAAGCTCATGCCGAGGTTGAGAGGTATGACACCTCTGACAAGTTCTTTAGCTACAAGATGGAGGAGAACAGTTCTGTTAGTGAGCATATACTTAGAATGTCTGGGTTTCACAACCGCTTGACTCAGTTGGGAGCTAATCTTCTAGATGAATGACACGGTCATTGACAGAGTTTGCCAGTCACTGCTACCAAGCTATAAGGGCTTTGTGATGAACTATAATATGCAAGGGATGGAGAAAACGATTCCTGAGCTCTTCGTGATGCTTAAGGCCATGGAGGTAGAAATCAAGAAGGAGCATCAATTGTTGATGGTTAGAAAGACCACTAGTTTCAAGAAAGGCAAGGGAAAGAAAGGGAAATTCAAGAATAATGGAAAGACAGTTTTCGCTCCCGTGAAGAAACCCAAGGCTGGACCCAAACCTGAGACTGAGTGCTTCTACTGCAAGGGGAATGGTCACTGGAAGCAGAACTGCCCCAAGTACTTGGCAGATAAGAAGGCTGGCAATGTCGACAAAGGTATATTTCATATACATGTTATTTATGTATGCCTTACTAGTGCTCGTAGTAGCGCCTGGGTGTTTGATACTGGTTCGGTTGCTAATATTTGTAACTCGAAACATGAGCTATGGAATAAAAAAAGACTAGCTAAGGACGAGGTGATGATGCGCGTCGGAAATGGTTCCAAGGTCGATGTGATCACCGCCGGCACACTACCTCTACATCTACATTCGGGATTAGTTTTAAACCTAAATTATTGTTATTTGGTGTTTGTGTTGAGCATGAACATTATATCTAGATCTTGTTTATTGCGAGACGATTATTCATCTAAGTCAAAGAATAATGGTTGTTCTATTCATATGAGTAATATCTTTTATGGTCATGCACCCCTTGTGAAT